ACACTGTCACTTCATTGACTGTACAACGTTCTGGGACATCATGTAGTTATGAAAGGCACTGTGGAAATATAAGTCTGTCTCTCCCTTAATGAGACACCAAGGGATTGACAGCAATCTTGCGGCAAACAAGAGCAGAGAATCTTAATCAGTTCTGCCAGATGCTATTTACTGTACAAGGCAGACACGTGGGATGAAAAGCTGTTGGTTTGTAGATGGAGCTGGAGCTCTGGATGGCCGTGCACCTTTGATCAGAACAAGTGAGTGAACTGCACTGGGCGTGTGTCATTCCTGATCAAGTGGTTCAGTTTGTGTGCCGTTCTGTTTCTCCTGATGAGACACATTAGGTTGGATTCACTTTTTGTGCAGATTGACTTTGGGGAGTTCTCCTTCAAACCTCTCTCCTGCGATAGGGTTAGGGTCCTCCTCCTCCGCCTCCGCCTCCGCCTCCTCCTCCTCCTCCTCGGCCTGCACATGCTGGCTTTTCGAATCCCTCAGTTACTCCAGATTCCTTTACTTTGTGCACATGTCCATATAGATGACCAGTCTTGGTTTTCTTGCTGCACTTGATCAGCATCTTATGAGATCAGCTCTGATATCCCCTGTTAGATTCATCAGGTTCATCTTCAAGGGTGGCATAGTGGCTCAGTGGTTATCACAGCTGCCTCACAGTGCCAGGGACCCAGGTTTGATCCCATCCTGGGGCATCTGGCTGTGTTGTGTTTGCACGTTCTCCCCGTGTCTGTGTGGATTTCCTCCGGGTGTTCCGGTTTCCTCCCACAGTCCAAAGATGTGCAGGCTGGGTGGATTGGCTGTGCTCAATTGCCCATCGCGTCCAGAGCTATGTAGGTTAGGTGGATTGGTCACAGGAAAGGAAAAGGATAGGGGAGGGGGTGGGTCTGGGTTGGATGCTGTTTGGAGGGTCTGTGTGGGCTCAATGGGCCTGCTTCCATACTCTGGGGATTCTATGATCTTGCATCCAGGAATGTGCTGAAGGTGCCCAGTGACTTAACTAAATTTGAATGCAATCTTAGAGAGGGAGGGGTGTTAGAGTAATTTAGCGTTTTCCAGCATGGAAAGAGGCCTTTCAGCCCATTGAGCCTGCACTGGTCATCAAAACACTCATCCATTCCCTTTTCCCAGCACATGGCCTGTAGCCTCATATGCTATTGTGTTTCAGGTGATTGTCTAAATATTTAGTGTCTTCAGTGTTCCCACCACCCTCTGGGTGAAAACATTTTTCCTCAACTCCCCTCTGAACCTCCTGCTTCTTACCTTACACCTATGAGCCATGGTTAGCATTCCCCAGACTAAGGGGAGAGGTTTCTCTGCATCTACCCTGTCTGCGCCCGTCTGGATTTAGGACACCTCAATTAGATATTGCCTCCGCCTTCTCTGCTCTAAGGAAAATCATGCCAAGCTCTCTCATCTCTCTTCATAGCTGAATCACTGCAGCCCAGGCAGCATCTTGGTGAATCTCTTCTGCACCCTCTCAGAATCATAGAATCCCTACAGAGTGGAAACAGGCCCTTCAGCCCAACAAGTCCACACCGAACCTCAGAGTGTCCCACCCAGACCCATCCCCCTATAACCCACCTAATCTACACCTGCCTGAACACTATGGGCAATTTAGCACGGCCAATCCACCTAACCTGTACATCTTTGGATTGTGGGAGGAAACTGGAGCACCCGGAGGAAACCCACACAGACACAGGGAGAATGTGCAAACTCCACACAGACAGTCGCCCGAGGCTGGAATCGAACCCCGGTCCCTGGCGCTGTGAGGCAGCAGTGCTAACCACTGTGCCACCGCCAGTGCAATCATGTCCTTCCTACCGTGTGGTAATCAGAACTGCACACAGTACTCCAGCCTTATATATACAGCTCCATCAGATCATCCCTGCTGTTGTATCAATGCCTTGACTAAGGGAGGTGAGTATTCCATATGCTTTCTTACCCACCTAATGTGTCCTCTGCCTTCCAAAATCTAGAGGCATGCACATCAAGGTCTTCCTGTACTTCTAAGGGTCCTATCATTCAATAAGTCCTTTCTTGCCTTGTCAGTCCTCCCAAAATGCATCACCTCACACTTTTCAGGATTAAATTCTATTCAGCCCACCTGACCAGGTTATTAGCGTGGCATTGTCATCCATTTACGCTCTGCTTTGTATTTACCCTCCTGAATCTGTCAGTATGTGGACTGATTATGCTTAAATGACTGCAGGCTGGGTACAATGTTAAACTGTTTCATTCGAGAGGTATCAGCTTCTAATTGGGTTGTTCTGGCATTGTATTCTGCTTTTGCTACATTATGGGTATGGATAATAACTTGGTAATGAGCAGATAATCCAGGATTTCCTTTTGCGAAGGATGGAAATTGGCTGGGACGCCAGAGGAAAACTCCCTTACTGTTCTTTGTAACAGCGCCATGAGATTTTTTTAATCTGCCTGAACAGGTGGTCAGTGTCCCAGTTTGATGCCTTATCCAAAAGCCAGTATTTCCCGACAGTGCAGAACTCACTGGAGTGCCTGTCTCAGTTTCAGTTCACTCAAATGGGACTCGATCTCAGGACCCTGTAGTTCAGAGATGAAGGGGCCACAACTGAGCCACAGCTGGCATGCCGTGCGCAGTGACTGGGTAAATAAGTAAACTTGTCATAGTCCCAGAGCACTGCTCTCTCATCAAAGAGAGAGAGATGAATGATGGTGAGCTTAACCTGAGGGTCATCATGCCTCAGGAGAGGGGCAAGGTTGACCTCACCTTCTTAGTGACCTCAGCCAGCGTGCGATCAGGTAACAGTCAAGGGTCCATTCCCTTAATTTCACCTCACCTTGTCTACACCCACCTACTGGCACTAAGCACAACACCAGGCAAACGTGAGAACAGGGACTATTTTCCCTGGAGTGTCGGAGGTTGAGGATGACCTAGTAGAGGTTTATGAAATCATGAGGGGCATGGATAGGGTGATAGCCAAGGTCTTTTTCCCCAGGGTAGGGGCAGTCCAAAACTAGAGGGCATAGGTTTAAGATGAGATGAGATAGATATAAAAGGGAACAAAAACCAAAGTTGCTGGAAAAGGCCAGCAGGTTTGGCATCATCTGTGAAGGAAAAAACAGAGTTAACATTTCGGGTCCGGTGACCCTTCCACAGAACCAACCCAGGGTCACCGGACCTGAGAGGTTAACTCTGTTTTCTCCTTCACAGATGCTGCCAGATCTGCTGGGCTTTTCCAGCAACTTCTGTTTTTATTCCTGATTTACAGCATCCACAGTTCTTTCGGTTTTTTATTAGATATAAAAGAGACCTTGGGAGCAACTTTTTCATGCAGAAGGTGGTGCGTGTATGGAATAAGCTGCCAGAGGAAGTGGTGGAGGCTGGTACAATTACAACATTTTTAAAAGGCATCTGGGTGGATATATGAATAGGAAGGATTTGCAGGGATATGGGCCAAATGCTGGCAAATGGGACTAGATTAATTTAGGATATCTGGTCGGCATGGATGAGTTGGACTGAAGGATCTGTTTCCGTGCTGTACAACTCTATGACTCTATATCAAAAAAAATGCTGGCCAAACTTGGCAGTACAGGCATCTGCTGTGGAAACGCTGACAGACCCTGCCGAATGTCTGCAGTGCCATCTATTTTTGTTAATTTCTGATTTCTACCAGTGCTTTGCTTTTGCGACAGATGTGGCAATGTAGGACTTGGGAACAGGAGCAGGCCATTTGGCCCTTGTTCTGCTATTTGATAAGATTCTAACTGATTATTTTAGTCTCAGCTCCACTTTCATTCCTATCTCCAGAACCCTCAACTCTCTCTCTTTTTCATCAATCTGTCTAACTTGGCCTGGAATATATTCAGCAACCCAGCCTCCAGTGGTTTCCGGGAAGAGAACTTCACAGAATACTGACCCTTGGGAAGAAACCAAAGGGACAAAACAAGTAGGTGGCTCAGTGGTTAGCACTGCTGCCTCACGGCACCAAGGACTCTGGTTCGATTCTGCCCTTGGACTGTCTGTGTGGAGTTTATATGTTCTCCCTGTGTCTGTGTTGGTTTCCTCCAGGTGTTCTGTTTTCCTACCAGAGTCCAAATTTGTGCAGGTTAGTTGGATTGACCATACTGAATTGCCCTGTAAGTGTCCAGGAATGTGTGGGGTTACGGCGATAGGGTGGGGGTCTGAGTGGGATGCTCTCCCGAGGGTTGGTGCATACCCAATGGGCCGAATGGCCTCTTTCTGCACTGTAGGGATTCAGTGACTGCTTTCTCTGACTTAACTCACCTGACTGATCTTGAACACGGCTGTTCCCTAGTTGTTCCTTTTGTTCGGGCTGTCGTCATTCCTCTTGTCTCCCTCTCCAGTCTCCATCAGCTACTTCCCTCTCCCGTTTCCCCTGTGCCCCCGAAGTTACCTCGTCTTGACCTTGAATCATTAGGACACCCCAAAGATAATAGGAAGCCAGAGGCGTGATAACAAGTTACCTTCCGTCCTGGCTTGTTTCAGAAAGCACATTTTCAGGCTCATTAACACAGAAGCACCTCTGTCGCAGCAGCTGCAGCAGTTAGTTGTAAAGAGCACATTAAATCACTTTCACTTAACTCATTTTGCAATGCTTCGCGATTTACAAAATGGTTACCACGTGCCTGTTGCTTCCTTGTGTCGTGTAGGTGTGGATAGGCTTTGGGGATTCCACCGGTGGTGCTGTCTGACCTGCTCTTGTAGCCACGGTGTTTATGTAGCAAAACCAGTGAAGTTTCTAGTCAGTGGTAACCCCCAGGATGTTGATAGCGAGGAGATGCTAATGCCATTGAACATCATGTAGAGATGGTGAGATTCTCTCTCATTGGAGTTAGTCTGGCGTAAATGTTACTTGTCAATTATCAGTCAAAGTCTGTTTGTCAGCACATGGACATCATCTCTTTAGAAGTGTGCAATTTGACTATCACATTTTGACAGAATTCAAGATTTTGTTTTTTGTAGGTTTTCTTGTGCTGTTTGATTCCAGATTTCTGTTGATGACACTGGTGGTTAGGCAGCCAATAGCTCACTGGTGATCAGTTATCTTTCAGGAAAAGGGCAAGTTCTACCCAGGGGAACTTGACCAGTTGCTGGCCTTTCTGAGTGCAGAGTGTTCTGGTATCTGGACGGATGGTGGAAGTAAGTTTGTACAGGAGAGAGATTGTAGGTCTATGGGGAAAAGCAGGGAAAATGGGGCTGTTTCAATAGCTCTTGTATGAGTTGGAAAAAAGGCTTGCTGTAATCTTGCTGGAGGTTGTACAGGATGTTGGTGAGGCCTTTTCTGGAGTGCTGTGTCCAGTTCTGGTCTCCCTGCTAGAGAAGGATATTATTAAGCTGGAGAGGGTTCAGAAAAGATTTACTAGGATGTTGCCAGGAATTGAGTTCTAAGGAGAGGCTGGATAGGCTGGGACTTCTTTCACTGGAGCTTGGGGGTTGAGGGATGACCTTAGAGAGGTTTATAAAATCATGAGGGGTATAGAAAAGGTGAATGGCAGGTATCTTTCCCCTAGGGGTGGGGGATTTCAAGACTTGGGGGCATATTTTTCAGGTGAAAGGAGAAAGATTTGAAAAGAACACGAGGGGCAATCTTTTACCCAGAGTGTTTCATGTCTGGAATGAACTTACAGAGAAAGTGGTGGATATGGGTACAGTTATAACATTTAAAAGACATTTGGATAAGTACATGAATGAGAAATGTTTGGAGGGATATGAAACGCAGGGACTAGTTTAGTTTGGGAACATGGTTGGCATGGACTGATTGGACCAAAGAGTCTGTTTCCACACTGTATGATTCTGTAATTGCAAAAGATTAGTATGCAGGTACAGCAAGTAATTAGCAAGTCAAACAGGATGTTGGTCTTTATTGTAAGCTGGAGTATAAAGCATAAGGAAGAATTGTCGCTACTGTACAGGGCATAGATGAGACCACACCTGGAGTATTATAGACCTTTTTTTATTCACATACTGAAGCAGGATGGGACTTGCTAACTTTGGGCACTTCAGAGAAGGTTCACTAGGTTGAGCCTTGGGATGAAGGGTCTATCTTATGAGGGAAGGTTGAGCAGATTGAGCTTGTACCCACTGGGGCTTAGAAGAATGAGGTTTGTATTGTTGAAACGTATAAGATTCTGAGAGGGCTTGAGAGGGGGGCTGCTGAGAGGATGTGTCCCTTCATGAGGGAATCTAGAATGATGCATCCACCATTTAAAAATAAGAATTCTCCTGTTTAGGACTGAGAAGGAATTGTTCCCAATGGTGAGTCATGAGACTTTGGAATTCACTTCCATCAAGAACATTAACAGGCTATGTCGGTGAATATATTCAAGGCTGAGTACAACGGATGTTGGATTAACGTGTGAGTCCTGTGTTTGTAGGGTCAGGAACTGAGAGCTCTTTGAAGTCAGCCATGATCTGATTAAATGATGTAGCAGGCTTGATGGGCCGAATAGCGATTGCGGAGTGCTTGGCAATGCATGCTAAAATAGGATTAAGTCAGTACGGCTTTGTCAAGGGAGGTTCATGCCTGACAAATCTATTAAAATTCTTTGATGAGGTAATGAGCAAATTAGACAAAGGAGAGCCAGTAAACATGATCTATTTGAATTTCCAGAAGGCCTTTGACAAGGTGCCGCACAGGAGACTGCTAAAAAACATAAGAGCCCATGCTGTTAGACGCAAGATACTGGTATGGATAGAGGATTGGCTGACTGGCAGAAGGAAGACAGTGGGGATAAAAGGGTTTTTGTCTTTCAGGATATCTGCCAGTGATTAGTAGACTTTTGCAGGGGTCTGTGTTGGTACCAGTAACTATTCACATTATACATTAATGATCTGGATGAAGGTACTGAGTGCATGTTTGCTAAGTTTGCAGGTCACACAAAGATAGGTGGAGGGACAAGTAGTGTCAAGGAAGCGGGGAGGCTGCAGAAGGACTTGGACAGACTAGGAAAGGGAGCAAAGAAGTGACGGATGGTATACAATGTGGGAGAGTGTGAGGTTATGCACTTTGGCAGGAAGAGTAGAGGCGTAGATTGTTTCTAAATGGAGATAGGCCTCAGAAATCTGAAGTACAGAGGGAGTTGGTAATCTGAGTTTGGGATTCTCGTAAGGTTAATATGCAGGTTCAATTGGCAATTAGGAAGGCATACACAATTTTAGTATTCATTTCAAGAGATCTAGAATACAAGAGCAGGGATGTAATGCTGAAGCTGTATAAGGCTCTGGTCAGATTGCATTTGGAATGTCATGAGCAATTTCGGACCCTCTAACTAAGGAAGGATGTGCTGGTCTTGGAGGGGGTCCAGAGGAGATTTACAAGAATGATCCTGGGGATGAAGGGCTTGTCATATGAGGGGCAGTTGAGAACTCTGGGTCTGTACTCAATGGAGTTTAGAAGGATGAGAAGGGGATCTGATTTAAATACTGAGAGGCCTGGATGCAGTGAACATGGAGAAGGTGTTTCCACGAGTAGGAGAGCCTGGAACCCGAGGTACAGCCTCAGAGTGAAGGGACGACCCTTTAGAACTGAGATGAGGAGAAATTTCTTCAGCCAGAGGGTGGTGAATTTGCAGTACTCATTGCTGCAGAAGGCTGTGGAGGCGAAGTCATTGAGTGTATTTAAGACAGAGATAGATAGGTTCTTGATTAGTAAGGGGATAAAGGGTTACAGGAAGATGGGGTTGAGAAACATGTCAGCCATGATTGAATGGTGGAGAGGACTCAATGCTGAATGGCCTAATTCTGCTCCCGTATCACAGTCTTATGGAATAGTCTATTTCTGCTCTTAGTTTTTATGTTCTTATGGACATATGAGCAGTGGGGGTGAGGCACAGGCGGGGCAGTAGGGGTGATGTACAGATGATACAGTGGGGATGATGTTGATGTATGGGTAGGACACTGGGGGTGGTGACACACTTTTGAGGTTGTCAGGGTGACGAGCAAGCAGGACCTGGGGTGAGTCTGCCAGCTTATGTCTACAAATTGGGTTGTGGGTAGTGATGCACTAGGTCATCTGGGCACACTGTGGTTGGACAGTAAAGTTTGGTCTCAGTGGGGAACGATTGAGAATCGTACATTTTGTACATGTTCCTCAAAGGAAGGAAGGTGATACATACCCCTACCTGCCAAATTGCAAACTCCTCCCATGTACAGTCTTATCTCTTGTACCTTCTTTAATTTCTAGAGATGGAGAGTCACACTTGCTCGGGATGTACACATCTAAGACTTCGCCTGTCAGGTCATGCTCTGCTCCCTGCCTTTTAATATAGGTTAAATTGAACCCTCAACTTGCACACACTCTTACCAAATGCTCAGCCTGGCCACACCTTCACTCCGGTTTCGGCACAGAGAGCCACAATCCCTCATTAACCAAGTAAGCTGTAATATCTGCCTCTGCACTGTGTGTATGGAGCTACGACTGAGCTGCCACCTCAGTTCTTCTCCGTATTCAACTCAATGGCTGGCTTCTGCCACTGGGTGGCAGTCACCGTCAACAATTGTGGAAGTCAGCAATGCAAAGCTGAGAGAGTCTGAAGAAGGCAGCTGTGGAGTGGAGGAGACCAGCAGGCTGCAAATGGAGCTGCTCCATCAGAGGGAGCCGGCAGGCTGCTGGGTGGTTCACTGCCACACAAGTGAAGTACACGAGGGAGGTGGATGGGGCAGGAAAGGAGGGGGGAATGCAGGTGGCAAAGGGAAAGATGGAAATGCATAACAGAGACCCACAACATTCTGACGAAGTACAATGCAAGCTCAAGGAACAGCTCCTTATTTTCCATGCAGGCATTTTGCACCCTTAAGGTCTCAGTATTGAATTCCACAGCTTCAGAGTCTGACTGCATCTTATTAGTTCTCTGTCTTAGGTGGCACAGTGGTTACCACTGCTACCGCACAGCGCGAAGGACCCAGGTTCGATCCCACCCTCGGGTGACTGTCTGTGTGAAGTTTGCATGTTCTCCCTGTGTCTGTGTGGGTTCCCTGCGGGTGCTCCTGTGTCCTTCCACAGTCCAAAGATGTGCAGTTAAGGCCATGTTAAATTGTCCAATGTGTCCAGGTTAGGTGGGTCAGTATTAATAAATGTGGAGTTACTGGGATAGGGTGGGATGCTCTTTGGAGGTTTGTGGCAGATTTGATGGACCAAATGACTTCTGCCTGCACTATAGGGATTCTATGACTTTTCTTACATTTTCCCAATCTGCACAGCCTTATTTGCAGTTTATTTACTTTGCTCTAGGACGCATTCTGTCCTTTTCACACCTTAATTTACACCCATTTTATATTGCTGTTACTGCCATTACCAACCCTTTTGTCTTTTACACTGGGCCTTTGCACCATCTGTTCCCTTTGCCTCTTCTCCATCTGTCAGAAGTATATTTTAAAAAAAGTTCCAAGTGCTTTCAGTTCTGAAGAAGGGTCCTTCTGGTCTGTGCACAGATGCTGCCAGACCCACTAAGTTTCTCCAGCACTTGTAAACCTTGCCCTTCACCTTCGTGCCCCATCCCACTCTCAGCCCTTACAAACACCTTCCAGTTGTTGCTGATGGAAACGTCCATCAGTATGGCCTTGACAGAATTGTAGAACTTAAAACGCTTGCCATTGCAACTAAACCCCCTCATGTGAACTGAACCAAGAGCATGGGCATGTCATTCCACTACTGGGGCATCGCGATAGAACCAATCCTGTCCTTGTATGTCATCTGGTGTTTCTGAATTGAAAATAAGAGCCAGGCTTTTTGAGGATGATGTCTGGAAGCACTTCCTTATGTTGATGGTGTGTAGAATTGAGTCTCCTCCACCTCACCCAAAATGCTGTTGTCTTTGATGGTTATGGGGCCAAGACTGAGACTTGCCAGTGGTATAAGAGTTGTGGAACCAAGGCAGGTGGATGCAGTTAACGTGGAAAACAGCCATGATTTAATTGCCCAACAGAACAGGATCAAGGGGTTGAATAGTCTCATACTGTCTCTGTGCAACTTTCCCAAGAATGTACAGAATTAGAGACAGTAGGTTACGTGGCCCC